ATTTGGAAAAAAAGTTCACAAAATGGTTTTATGGAGATGAGAAACTTTAGGGAAAGAGCAGTGGGATTAAATCCTGTCTCATCCTCTCCCTATTGGACCAAGTGGCTCATAAATTACATAAAATGAATCCTCTGCTTCTCTGTTATCAAAGAACAGCAGTGGTTGTTACCTCAGAAGTAGATTAGCAGTGTTATTGGGGGTTTTGTGGGGGTGGAGAGTTGTTTGGGGCTTAATACCACACGGCTCTTAAAGCCTTCTTTACCCTATCTCTAACTACTAACAACATTTGATGGTTTTAGCTAATTTGTAAATTTGGGGCTTCTTCTTCTTCGTTCTTAATTATTAGTGTTGAAGGGGATCGAGAATTATCTGCCAGTGCGTTTGAAGTCGAGACTTTGTTCAAATGTATCAACCATGAGCTTTTTGCCGACTCGACCACACCTCTAACACGATTAAGGGTTACGTGTCAACTGGTTATGCGCCATTGAGGCCATTGACTCTGATTTCAGCCTGCTTTTCTTTTTGGATTTGCTTCCATACCCTTTGTCCAACCAAGAACAAACTACAAGGCAGCAGTTGTTTAATTTTGAAGTTGTCTCTCCTAGAAGAGTGGCTGTCCCCAGCTAACGAGCCTCATCTGCCTGGGGGTTCGAACTCGAGACTTTTCGGTTAGCAACCATGTCCTTTACCAACTCGACAAAGTACAGTATGATCGTGTTCTAAATCTAGTCCAAGTACTTTGTTAGCCCAAGTTCTAATTAATAATTCTAAGTACTAATTAGTAATGTAAGCCTAGACCCAACACTAAAATCATTTAATTTTTCAGACCTCTTAAATTTTAATAATATGAACATTATTTAGCCTAATAAAAGTATATCAACAAAGAACAGTGAGAATAATATTATATTAGATTAATTAAAATCTATGAAATCAATAAGAATTAACAAAAATTAATTAAGCTATAACACATTTGAAAACAACAAATAATTAGGCATAAATAAGCCCACCAAGGCCAACTCGCAATAATTTCAGGGATTAACACAAATTAAAAAACAAAATAATAGATTGTTGTGGTTTAGGGTCTTTTAGAGTCATAGTATAACCAAAAGGCCAGGTAAAAGATCCATAATGAGACTTAATTAGCCTAATTACGCTAGCAAAATAGGTAAAAAAAAGTGTCAAGTAAAAAGAAAACTTACTTAAGCAGTGACAGAGGATACTACTATACAGCTTCCGTATCAATAGCAATGACGTCACTCACAAAAAAAAAATATTGTTTTCGTGACGTATCAATAGCAATATCTTCACTCACAAAAAAAATATTGTTTACGTGACATGTGGGTAATTTTTTTTCTCAAAATGAGTACAGAATATTTACAATTTTAATTCAGAAACAGATCAATCTAATAATACCCTACCTAACAGTGCAAGTTTGGAACCTTACAGATCGATATTTTAAGTTTTTAAGCAACTTAAAACTTTACCCATGTTTATGTTTGACCTTCATTGTTGGAAGCTAAACAAATTTTTTTTCTGGCAAAAATAGCTTTGTCATCTTCAGGTAGCATAAAATACGCTAAAAATCTGCCATTTTTCATGTGATAATCGTTTTTTTAAAAACCTAATTCCAAGAAAGTCACTTTACTGTTAAGCAAAATTTTCAGAAACGTGTCTGGTTTTGGGTCTGCAAACAAAATATGTAGGCCTGCTATAATTTTTTTTTCACGATCTATCTGGGTCTATTTATATAGTTGTTTTTTAACTGTTGTAAAAAGTCCTTGAAATTTTTAACCTTGAAATGCAGTGCTTGTGAAAATTGCTGCTGTCACTGCACTCATCCTATTTTCTCCTCCCACCGCTTGTAAAAAAAATCAGCTATTTGTATTGGAGGGAGATGGGGCGCTAGATCTTTGACATTAGTATTAGCATAGTTACTTCTGAAATCTGCTTCATAATAAAATATATGTGTCACCTTGTTATGTGCCATTGAAGCCATTGACTCTGATTTTTTCCTGCTTTTCTTTTTGGATTTGCTTCCATAGCTTTTGTCCACCCAAGAACAAACTACAAGGCAGTAGTTGTTTGATTTTGGAGTTGTTACTCCTAGAAGAGTGGCTGCCCTCTGCTAACGAGCCTCATCTGCCCGAGTGTTCAAACTCGAGACATATCGGTTTAGCAACCATGAGCTTTACCGACTCGACCACACCAACCCCAATTCTGAAGTGATTTCTTAGTAAAAAATAAAGTTTCTGTAATCCTGCGATGTGTACTTACGAATTTCCACAATATTTTTTTTTACGTCAGCGCGCATATCAAGGTGGGGGACATTGGTGGTGAAATGGTGCAACATAAGGTTTTATATTTTGATGTGGAAATTAGCCATATACCTGGGTATATTGTAAAAGCAGGCATACGACAGTGTACATTTGTGTTGTAGGCCTACCACTTGTTATAGTTCAGGCCTACTAAAAAAAAATTCTTAGATATTTCAACACATTTCTATGTTACCAACAGTAGAAAAAGTGACCACTGCCACTATAAACAGTTGTTTGTATTGTGGTTTACATGCATGGGGTAGGTCTAGAGATTGTACTAACATTTTAAACTATTGGATATATATATATATATATATATATATATATATATATATATATATTGGATATATTTTTTAATAGACTGATAAACCTAATAGTTCTTCAATCTTCAATTAATTTTTCTACTTCCCGGGCTAATATTTTAAAAGTTCTATCATTTTTAATGGTACCAACTTTTAAATATACCTTCCTTCTCCAAAGCAAATTTTAAAATGTTTTTCTGGCATATTTTGCCCTGTCACCTATAGCTTGTTTGTATAACATGAAAAACCCACATATTTGCTCTTGGTAAACGTTTTAAAAACTAATTGTAAGAAGGTCACTGGAGCTAGGATGAAAAATCTTTGAAAGTCATGCATCTGGTGTGGACATCATATTGATTTTAGCAACGATCCACACCTCCAAGGTAGCGAGTAATACTAATATTTTTTGTGTCAAATATAATAGTAATAGATAATTGAATAATAAACCAAAATCAATGTCCAAATATATCAATATAAGCCAGAAATTAACTTTAAACAGCCTAGTTTGCGAGCAAGATTTGCTATATAAACAGCGGCCAACTGTAAATTAGGGCAGTTTCCCTTGAATCTCTAGCTTAAATGTTACCAAAAAACTTTAACAAGATGGCTGCTTTAGTAAATGAGCTTGGTTGCATCAAGTGAAAACATCGTTAATCTTTATTTATTACTGAAAAGTTTTACTACTGATGTTTTAAAACAAGCACATCAAAAGTTTGTAGCACTTTTGTAGCTTTCAAAATGTGAATCCTTCTAAAAATGCCAACTAATTACAAAAATTTGATACGTCACCCTTTTTTTACTTTCTCGTATACAGGGTATAGAGAAGGTATTCTGATAGTGCACATAAATCACATGAAATTTTGACGGTTTTCACCGTTTTTCACCTCAGTCCTTCATCTGGAGTATAGAAGACTTATTTTAATCGGGCAAAAATTATAAACCCACATTTATCAAATTTTTGACGTTTTATGCATTATCGAGTCTGAAAAACTGGGCTTTGCAATTCTTTCAGTGTATGTGTGTCTGTGAACACGATAACTTGAGTACAGTTACAGCTAGGTTGATAAAATTTCATATATAAGTATTATATCAAATTTCTAGTTCTGTATCAACTTTTCAGCGATTTCTGATTAACCGGAAGTGAAACTTATTCTACTTTAAATTTTTCAAAAGCCTATAACTTGAGTTCTGTTTTAGATAGCCAAATGAAATTTCATATGTAAGTAAAAGATCTAATTTTCCACCTTCTTTCAAATTTAGAGTATTTTCCGTTGACCAGAAGTAGTAATGGACGCTATTTCTAATTTCTCAAAAATGCTTGTGAATATATAAAGTACTAATAATATTCCGCACTATTATACACATTTTGTTTCGCATTTCTTTGGTGTGCAATTCTTTTTTTCTACAAGATTCTATTCTATTTTTAAAAGTTTAAGTACTTAAACATGGATTTAAAAATCATGTCTATATATAGTATATCCTGAGTTGCCAATCCCCCGTAGTGTTATATAAGAATATTCGAGAAAGCTTAGGGGAGATCACTACTGGCTTTTTAACATTACTAGCCTCTGCAGATTTTATGTACATAAAATCATAGATTACCTTAGTCTGTTAATTAAGAATAGTAAGGTGTACTTTTGACCTAATTTCTTTATTTATCTCGCAAGTGAAACTTTAGTGAAAGTAGCTTTGTATATTCTTGTTTTAAAATGAACTTACAATCAAATAAACTTCTAAACTATGATTCTAATGTTATGCCGTGTATGATTAAACAACGGTTTGGGAATAATTCTCATGTGACATAATGTCCTTAGGTGTGGTCACTATGAAGTCATATATACCCCCCCCTCCCCTCCCCATTAATGCCATTTTATTATAATCTTGTGAAAAACAAGGCGCGTTTAGATGTGGGCTGCGCCCAAAGCCAATCATTTGGCCAGATTTATTATTTGTCATGTCGCCTGATATCTTAAAAGCATAAAGCGTTGCGCTTTCCTCATTGATGATTGTTTTGTTGTTTTTTTCATTTTTTAAAGTGAAAATATGAATTGTTATGATTGCAGTTTTTGTAACATGGTATACTTACCTTCTGTCAATTTAAAAAGCATGGCATGTTAATTTTGTACAAATATTGTATAAAACAAAAAAAATTTTAAGTTTGATTTTATTTTCTACCATAATCCGCCACTCTTAGGCATATACAATACATTAATTATTTTATTTTTAAAATTGTTTATTGATTGTGTTAACTTTAAGCTATCTAAATTCATTTCTAAGATATTTTAATATGCATCTGAGAAGTTTTATTGAAAAAACTTTGTTTTGACTATAGTTACTAGATCTATATAATCACCACTTTAACATTTAAATATCTAATCCTCAGTTCATTTATAAGAAGCAACATGGGAGAGGCAACTGCTGATTTAGATTCACAGTCTGATGAGTTTAAAGAATTTTCAAATTCTGAAGATGTGAAGCCACTTCTATCTACAGTATTTTCATCTTCTTCTGACATAAAAACAGAATTATCATTTTTAACTTTCCGTGATATCAAAAATTCACAGGATGATAAAACCGTTGTTACGCCAGATTTTTCATCTTCTACAGACACAAAGTCAGAATGTACAACATTTTCCTCTTTTGATGATGTAAAACACCATATGACATTTCTAACTTCTCAAGATAAAACAACAGGATTTTTAATTTTTAAAGATATGGAACCTGCTGTATCAGCAGTATGTACAAGATCTGAAGATTTAAAACCAGAATTAGCAATTTTATCAACTAGTGAAGATATAAAACCAGAATTAGAAACTTTATCAACCAACACAGAATTAGAAATTTTATCAACTACTGAAGATATAAATCCAGAATTAGAAAATATATCATCTAGTGAAGATCTAAAACGAGAATTAGAAACTTTATCAACTAGTGAAGATATAATCCCAGAATTAGAAACTTTATCAACCAACAAAGATTTAAAACCAGATTTATGGACAAAATTTTTAGATTCTGAGGACAAACAACAAAATGGACTTAAAGAAAAGCTAAAACTCTCTGAAGATGAAACATATCTGTCTGTTGATCCTCATGATCATCATGAACAGTTTTTTCAAAGATCTAACTTGAATAAACAAGCTCAAGTAGGGGAGAGGCCACTTAAATGTGATGCTTGCAAAAAAACATTTTCAGATAGTTCTAGGTTAAGTAAACATAAAAAAATTCATTCTGGAGATAAGCCATATGAATGTGATGTTTGTCATAAAAAGTTATCTAATAGTTCTGCTCTAAGCAACCACAAAAAAATACATTTACTAGTTAGACATTATGAATGTGATGTTTGTCACAAAAGGTTTTCAAGGAATTCTTATTTAGCGGAACACAAAAAAGTTCATTCAGGAGATAAGCCTCATGA